CCATGAAACTGACGAAAAAAAAGCGGTAAAAAAGCCAACCAAAGAGCTCGTTCATTCCCTCCGTGGTAGTCTCATTGGGAAGAAGGCCTTCTTTATTTGGAGAAGATGCCTGGAGAAGAGAATGTTGAAGAGGATTTTTTATTAAAAGCATGTGCAAATACCAGGAAAGCTTTACATTAAAAAGTAATCAGATTCCTCTTACCGATGGTGGATGCAGGAGAGGCCCATTGCGTTCTGACATGACGGACTGACCGTTCTGAATGGAAAATTACTTTTACACTTCAGGAAATAAGTTTGATTGAAAGTAAAAAGAATCATCAATCACAATTAGGTGCTTATTTACAAATCTCGCAGCCCAAAAAAAGTAATTTTTCAAAAATGTATGTCCTCCTACAATCTATAGAAAACTTGTCGAGCATTTCTGCCCCTCATGACGTCACCTGCTCCCGCCCCTTCTGAAAGGCCCAACTGTCTCCATTCCTTTACACCCTTCAGGTTGTGTTGCGTAGACTAGCCAGAGGGCTGACTTCATGTGACGTTCAGCCCCCAAACTGTCCCCATATGAAAACCACAGCGAGAGTATGACTCCTAACTATCCTCAAGAGTTCAAAATCAAAGTCAATTATTAAGGTTAAAATGAGCTGATCAGCCACTAGTCTTTCACAACCAAAAAGCCAAGTCGACTAAAACCTTTGAAGACGAGTGTCCTAAAACTTAACAAAAACACCAGCAAATGTGGCACAAGATAGGAAGTTCAGTAGAACGACAATAACGATAAGCGCTACGCTAACTGCACACCACAGAAAATAGCTCCTCCTCCTTACCTACAGATACTCGTTGATTAACTTAATTTCGAACACGACAAAAAGAGGCACAACCAATTTTTGTTCTAAAACGTCGCAAACGAGAGAATGACAAGCGGAAATAATTTCTTAAAAGACTCGAGTAATAGCGACCACTAGAGCAGCTAATTCATAGATATTTCAACATTAGATGCACTCGGCCAAGACGGTAAGGAAGTTCCTGCCTAAGCGCGAACCCATGCAGGAAAATCCACCACGAGAAGTAGAGGAAGAAAAGAGCGCCTTCGGTAGCTAATTAACTTGTTTGCTCCTTTCCTTGCTATTCTGCAACAGAGCAGTGCTCCATAGCTGTTTATAAACTAAGCCAGCCCACTCCTAAGTCTCCTATCGTTAAAAACGCATAGGCAATAATGCTGAAAGTAATAAAGAAATCTTCACTAATACCAAGTCATACACAGTTAAAACTCAAAAAATCCTAATACCTCAACTTTTACCTCTTACTTTGCTTTCTCCCACAAAAACTGTAGCCAGACAACATTAAAAAGGCGTTCAATTCCTTAAAGAAACAGAAGCAATCCTTACAATGACAAATCTCCAAAATTCACGCTAATCAATAAAGATCGTAAGCTCATAATGCAGCTCTAAACTTCCAAATCACTTGGAATATTTTGAGAGTAAATTGAAACTAAGTGTTTTTTACAGGCACAAATCACTGAAGAGCCTTTAACGCCAAAAGATACTGGCATAATGAAAAAAGATAAGTATAAGCAGAAGAATAACAAAATGAGTTTGTACCTCACTACGATTCATCATTTCTGACGAAGATACAGGTCGAATCAAAGGGGGGATGCCTTGCTGCTTCAAGATCGCTAAAAAACTACTGTAAACTATAAAGGAAAAATAGAGGCACACACCTACAACCAGTAAAATAAACGTGGGAGGTAAACAACTTCCCCGTAAATGGAGCACTAGTAAAATCAAAAAGTTTGATAAAGTATAGAAAACTATCCTTTTTCAAGTCAACTAAGAATTAAAAGTAACTATACACAGTAAAATATATGAACAGTTTATTACTGCACGCAAAAACTGTTTCGCTGTCCAAGAATAAATAAATGTGCATTTAGTTTTAAAAATAATGGACAAGTGAAGTCTGTAAAAACAAAAAAAAATAAAAAATAAAAAATAAGAAGGGCGCTCCTTCAAGTGTTGCTGAGCAAAACAATTAGCTGGACCCATACAGGGTCGTATTACGTTAAATTTGAGCATTTTTGAAAAAGTACAGGAAATGCTTGAAAAATGACGCGCAACGACATGCGAGAAGCGTTTTCATAGCTCCGTCTGCTACATGTCCCGCATATTTAAATATGTTATTATAACGCAGGGCGCATTTTTGTGCGTGAAATACGAAACTGCGAAGAAAAAATAGAGTTACAGAACTGAACTTCTGAACAACTCCATGCAATTTTAGCAGCAAAACAACAAATAAAGAGAAACCTTCACGAAAACTGGACGACTTCAAAGCGGCTTCAGATCGCTTCTGCAAACTTCGTCGTTAACTGAGGATCCAATTACAGAAGTCACTTTTAAGTTAATTTAGTTCCAGCAATGCTGGTTTAAAATGAACTACTTGACAATAAAATGTTTAAACTTTATTACCTAGGAGGGCAAATCTATCATAAATGATAGTCCTAGTGACTTTAAGATTTATTTTAAAAAGTAATGAAAGGGAAGAAACTATAAACACTAGAAAAATTCCCATGAAAGACAGCAATGGGTAAAAATGTAACCCATATGCACAAGCTGCGCTCTAAACACTCGCAGCTCAAAAAGGAATAATTTGTATAAAAATCAAAAAACTGTCAGAATCAGTCAAGCATAACATTTTGCGAGCAAACAGACTCGCAAAACGACGATAAGCATAGAAATTTTAAAACCTGAACTAAACCACAAATTAACAATTTCCCTCTGGCACTGGCCAAAGACGAAGAATTTTACAAAGCAAAGTTAGAGTGGAGGATTTGTCTGACTAAAAATTAACAAATAATTATCGGCTTTGAGAGTATCCAAAGATTAACGAAACATTGCTTAAATACTCATTTAAAGGAGCCCTTCATACACCTTTCTTGGTGCGACTGTGTTCCATAAGTATTATATTAAATATACTGCGTAAATTGAAGTTATTTATAATTAATAAAAAATCTATTTCGGTTACGAACAAATTCCTGTGAACATTTTGATCTGAAACAAAGAACAATGATCTGAAGTGTTTCTTGGTGCTAAACAACAAAGCACCATTAGCATATACTGAATGGAGATAAGTTAAAAACAAACAATATAACAACTGGTGAAGTACCACACTTTAAATGAGGCGTTACTTTCCAAAAAACTACACAAAAACTTAAAAGATATAATTTTTTTTAAAAACAAGAACAGCAAAATCTAAAAGCGTCTGAAAGAATTAACTTGAAGGAACCGAACAGTGCTTACGAAATAGTTTTAGAAAACCACATCAGGACAACACAACAATAAACCCATAAATTTCACAAACCTCATAACCGGGAGGACCGAAACCTTGGGGTCCCTCAAAGAAACCATATTTACCCGAAGGATTTGCTTGTATCGGCCCATAACCAGGTCGGGCAGGAAGGCCATACGGGACCGGCACAGAATTAGCACTGGACAAAAACTGAGGCTATAAAGCAGAAAAGCTAGGACGAAAAAGCGATTGCAGCCAACGAAACAAATGAAAGTTGGGAGTAAAGTAAAAGAAAAAATTCTTCAGAATTGAATATATTTACTCTAGGAAATGATCGCATTGGTCCTGGACCTCCAAGTACACCTAAACCAACAACACCACCCATTGCCATTCTTTTTTTAACGCCACCTCTGTTACCGCGATGTCTAAAATTCATTCAATTAAAAAATAAATCAAAACTCTATTGAAGCAATGTAATTTACAATGAACAACATACCTGAATCCATCAAATTAATTATGCCTCAAAATTTACAGAGAAATAGAGAGAAAAATCAGCCGAGTAACAGCTGTAGTTAACTTAAATGAAACCCAACCTCTTATCGCCATATCCACGATTGTCACCCATAATGAAGTCCTGTATAAGAAAGATCTGAAAAATGACAATATCGCTTAATCAACTGTCGCACTGCAATGTTAAAAGGTCTGCAAGCACAAAAAGAAAAGGAGAAAAAGAAAATAAAGTTGATAAACAGCAAGGATTACAAATGCGAAAAATGAGAGAAACCTAGCTTTAAGAAAAAAACGCGACTAAAAAAGTTCGATGCCCAAAAACAAGTAATGGCAAAAAAACTCAAAAGAAAGAAAAAACTGGACACTTAACTGGCAACATCAAATAATGAATCCAAAAGAGCAAGAAAGAAAACGAAAAAGAAAAGGATGGCATGTACTGCACCCACAAACAAAGATGGATGTATGTGAGCGAACGCCAACTGCATTCACACAAATCCCCCGTCTCGACGACGAGTTCGTTCGTCGTACAGACCAAATGTGTGCTTAACAATCAAATGGCGTCCCCCCTGCAGTTGCCCTCCTCCCGCCATGAAATAAACTTCAAATTATGGCAAATGTCCAACAGCAAAGCCCTATTGCGATCGTCGTCTTATCCCGTTAAATTAGTGAAGTTGGTAGATGCGATAACAGATAGTTAGATAGAAATTCTAAATATTATTTAATTGTTTCCAGTTATATACAGTTATATATATTTATATTTAAATATATGTCTTGTGGATACTGTTGATGAACTAACTGTTCGGTCCTCAGACGTATACTGAAAAATTTCCACAACATTTCTTTAGAAATCGTTATAAACGACTCACAAATGAAGCTCCAAAATTTAGGGTAAATATAATGAAAAGAAACTTTTTTGATCGAACGTGAGCGAGATAAGAGTATGAACAGTGAAAAAATTTACAGAATTTCAATTAACTCTCCGTGGCAGAAAAGAACCTTTTTTAACTTTAGTTCGTTTTAAAAAAAGTACAATTGAACGACGAGCGTTACGTTCATTCGAAGGATTTTCAATTGTTATTGCTCACTCATATATTTTGTTCCATAGAAAATTTTACTGTAAAAACCAAAGCAATTAATGTTTTTTTCTTCTGTCCGGTAATAATGGACACTGCATAATACATTAAAAGGTGTTTATTTGCGAAAAAAAGACTAATCAAAGCAAGGAGTGGGATTAAGCAAGAAAGGAGATAAGAAAATGGTCCGGGATTTTTTTTAAAATCATCGAACACAATTGACAAATAATTAAACCTTTGATACGACGAAAAAAAGCAACAATTTTTGGTAAAAATTCCCGCAACAACTGTTTTCGTAACGTTCCGTAGAGTATAATCAGCAAGCTTCTGAATAACTTTATTATTCCTTTCTTTTTTTTCGTTGATATTGGAATTTTACCAGCGGAAGTGGCTGTCGTGGCAGGACAAAGGAACTGCGATTGCAAAAGGCCGATTGTTGAGTGATCGTCTAAGGAGCTAACGTATCGGCGCAAGTTCTAGAAGTCGAGTTTGAGTATCACCATAGATGGCACTAAATTATTTGCTTACGTTTCATTGGTACAGTATAAACCTCGCAGAATAAATAGTGAGAAGTTGATGAGAGTTTGTAGAATTGTTTCCAAAAAGTGTCACAACATCGATAGATTTCAGATTTTTGTGATCTTAATGCTGAAGCTATAATGCATTAAAACCTGCTATGATTGCACTGAGTTTCCAGTTTCGTTGAAGACTGAATCTGTAGGAGTTAATTTTGTTTCTGATCGCTTTTGCTCTACGCTTACTCCAATCAAAGTTTTATGTATGAAATCCACACAGAAACCAAGTGTTAGATTGGACACTGGATTACTTTCTGTGCCATTCTGAAAATATGAATTTCATTTTTTACTAACTGACTTCTTTAATTAATACAGGGTTTTCTGGCTAGTTGGATTCATTGCACAGTTCCGAGAGGCTTTGTTCACGTTTCCTCGATAGCTTTATTCTTTCTTTTCTTTTCATACATCTTTCTGTGTTGTCAGTACTTGGACTTGATGTCTCTTTGTTAAAAAAGTTAGCGACAGAGAGATGGTTAGGACGTTTGCGGACAGATGATATGGACATAGCTGGTTCTTCAGCTCGTACTCATTGCTCCTTCTAGTTAAACAGCATAAATAATATTGTAATATTATGTACAAATACAACTTTGAAGGAATTTTGATTTTTTTTTTTTCAAAATTTGAACAACAAATTGTGAATTGCGATGCTTTGTTGCTCGTAGACCTTATTACAAAATAACTTTGTGTATTTTTAAGCCCAAAAAATTCTCCACCATTTGTTTTGTGTCTATTATCACTGATACCGTGTTTTATAAACATTAATCCTGCATACGGACAAGCGACAGACATGCGCACACTAGGATTGCTTAAGAAGTAATGCTGTTGTTCCTCCGTAACCGCTATTTTGTTGTTGCTGTGCAGTTGACCGGATAGTTTTTTTGCACTGAAATAAGTTTAGCTTTGTAAACTGCTTGAATGCTATTTCTTTGCGTATTTTCTCACTTATTGTCGGACTCATGGTTTCTGAATTTGAAAGCTTAAAACGGCTGCTGGTGAACAGATAGTTGACAATTTGGGGTATTAGACGACAAATAAGGGAATTTTTTGCAGTCCCTGCAAAAATAGGTGAAACTGTAAATCATAGATCTAACCGGGCTCAGCCCTGATCACTACTCATGAAATACCGCTTGTATTCTGTGGCTTTTTTTAAAAATACTGTTGCAAAATTGCTGAAACAGGAAAATCTGCGTTTTAAGTCTTACTACTTCAAACTATTTGGCTCTAAACAAGCGAATTGGAACATGGTTGATTTAAAGATACCAATTTTTGAAGAACAAACGGAATTGTAAAGGTTCAATCCCGTACAGCAAAAAAGCGTACCTTTTGAAATGCTTTCTACAACGATTAAATGCAAGGGGAAAAAAAGTGTTTGCAGCAAAAATAGACAAAAAGCAATAGAAGAAAAAAATTCGGCTAGTAAAATTTTTTATGCAATAAAAAAATTGAGTGACAGAAATTAAAGATAGACTATCGGTAACGACTGACGCGGATCACTGTTTCAGGAGAATTTGAAATGGCAAAAAACGTGGAATTTTTTTATAAAACAAGTGTCTTCCAAAAATTTCATCTGTAAAGAAAGAAGAGTGGATTTATCTTTGCAAGACTTGGCCTTTTCTTTAGGTAACCAACCCCCGGCTCAGACCTGAAAAGTCTACAGCCCAAGTATTTTGAAAAGAAAATGATCAAAAAAGTTTAATGCTTTAAAACGGGTAATTACAGAAGAAAAAAAAAAAGAAAACACAAGATGAAGAAAATGACGACCAGCAGTGAACCCACTGCGAAAATGGAGCTATTCGAGTTTATGTCAACGATTGTATCCGTACAGATGAGTGTGAACGAAAAAATTCAAATAATACCGTGTAATTGACTACCGGAGCTGTTGTAGCTAACAGTGTCCTCACTTGGAATACAAAATGTGTATTTCAGGTGTTAAAGCATGTTTGGAGT